CCTGCTGGAAAACAACTAGTAAATGAGTACTTGAAGGTACTGATCAAGTACTCAACTGGATACTATTGCACAGTATGCTTAGGTACCCTGTTACCAAAATTGCAGTACGTTGATGGTCGAACCTAACCTTCGAATTTTTTCATTTTTTTTTTGATATTATTTAATTTAATTTTTCCAATCCTGAAAACTCTAGCAGGTCAAATTTCGGGATCTGACCGGGCTTGAGTTGGTCGAATCTCTTCCGACCACTTCAGGATAGTCCAATCTTAATTTACGATTAAGATCGGCATGTTCTCCACTAATAAATAGTCAAGAAATAATTTAGAAAAAAAGTATGAAAAAAGTTTATTTTCTGATGGTTTACCGAGTTGTTTATAAGGAGCTGTTCACGCAAAAGAAAACGGTGAATGCACAGACGCCACACAGAACGCGATGAATCTAGGGTACCCTGTAGAGCTTTCCTCAGTAAAATTACAGGTGCAGGCACTCATACAATTACTGCTTCAGTGAAACATACTGCTATGGGTACCCAATGCAGTACCTACAACAGTCTGGTTACTGAGAATTTTCTAAGTACTCTTAATAGGTACCCTGGTGTGGCTTTCTTAGCATGTGGGTACCCTGAACCCAGTACATTTCCTAGGGTTGGATCTATTAAAACACTCAAAGACAGATCTATTGAAGTCGATTGTACGTATCATCTACGAACAGTCATCTTCAGATATTATTCGAATGTGATTGTCACTGTCACTTTTCTACAGCATTCCTGTCGAAGAAGTATCTCGACCATTTAATGTTATGTATGTTAAATTTTCGTCAGTATGTTTTGCTATAACATAATTCTGGTTTTCAGTGCATTCAATTGGACATAAAATTTGAGCATGTATTTCAGAGCAGTCATCCTATTCCGCAATGTTGAACATTCCGGAATCAGTTCCATCGATTCCGGAATTAGGTCAATACGGAATCGCTGGGGATTAGACGGAATTCCGTGTAATTCCAGAATTAAATCGGAAGGGATAAACGGAATTCCGGGAATTAGATGGAACTGGTTCCGGAATGTTCAACATTGTGGAATAGGATGTATTCTCGGTCTGTGATGGTTTCTGAGGTCTCTGTCACAATCTGTGATGGTTTTTGAAGGCTCTGCAACTGTCTGTGATGGCTTCTGCGGCCTCTGTCACGGTCTGTGATGGTGTCTGAATTCTCTGTCACTGTCTGTGATGGGTTTTGAATAGGGATGTGCGATGTGACAAAACTGAGCACTGATAGATTCAGTGTCAGTGTTCAGTGAAAGATTGATACACTGACACCAAGGTCACTGAAATACTGATAGTTAGTGTGAAGTGATCACTGATGCACTGATACCATCATCATTGTTGATGATCGATTGTCGGTGACTTCACTGAAATTTCATATAAGTACTATTTAATATTATAACATATCTTTTCAAGACCAACAAAAAATGATACTGAAGTTTCGTTGTAAGAAAATTTATGTGCTTATATATTTAAAAACGTGAAGAACAATAATACACCTTTGTCGAAGAATTATAATTGATACGCTGGTACTTAAACTCTTCGAAATAAATAAATAAATAAATATGAAGTAGAAAGACACACTCATAGAAAATAAAATGTGCCTTTCACATAAGTAGAAAGGTAAAATGAAAATGAGATTTGAATAAATGAACAGTTAAGAAAAACAGTGCACACATAATAAAAAAATTATCTGCACATTAAAACAATCTCATAGCAAACAAATTTCAATAATAACAAAACAAAAGAATAAAATACATTAAAAAGAGGGAAAAATTAAGTAACTTCCACAACTTTATTTTGTCTTTCAAAAACACACTAGAACAAAGATGTTTGCCCGATAAACGGGCACGTTCTTTCCTTGCTAAAGCTGATGACGTGCTGAAGCAACCCTCACTAGGTACAGAAGTTGCTGGTGTGCTTAACATTTTTTTCGCAATTCCTTTTAAAATCGAAAATGTTTCATCATATGTTCGCCAAAAAACTATCGCTGATCCTGCATCTGGTTTATGACTTTCATTGAATTCGATAACATACTTTCGATAATGATAAAATTCATTTATAATAGCTGCTCGTTTACTTTCATTTTCTCGATTATCTTCATATTGAATATCGCCAACAGATTCGTTAAATAAATCCATGGCATTTCTTTTAACATTTCTATTGGCATTTGGCTTGCTTGCAGAATTCGCAGTTGTTGTAGTACTTGATAACGTATTTGCTACAGAAATCGAAGAATGAGATGCTTGATCAGCTACGCTTTTCTTTATTGTCTGCTCGACTGAACGTCTTTCAATTTCCGTCAATGCTGCGAATCCTGCAGGATCGAAATATGCGTGCAACTAAAAATAAAAAACAATGTTTTGATTAAAATTTTCAGAACTATTGATTACTTCTATTGATATTCACGACAAAACAATGAGCTACACAAAACGAATGCAATTATTATTTAAAACTTCATTAAAATTTCTATGATTACTATCTACAACAGGGATCTCGCTCGCTATATTCTACACATTTAGTTTTATTTTTGAATATGATACTTTTATAGTTGATAATTTGTGTCGTCTAGATTTTAATAGAACGTTATTGCTCTGGTTGCAATGATAGTGTTTTCGATTTTCTTTTTAGTAATTAAAACAACGAAGACTGAGCAAAAATAGCCATCAATAGTAGTAAAATTTTTATTTATTTACCAATAGTAATTCCATTTGTTCATTCTCATCGTCAAAGTAATTCAAGAATTTCTTCAATAATAGTTGTTTTAATCGTTTTTCCAATAAGTTTCTTTTCTGTTGTGTTGCTGTAAAAAAATTCTCAGTCGTGCAAGTAAATAATAAGCTAACCCTATCGATGGATATTGTCGACCAGACATTGCTGTGGTGGCAAGATAAATGGTTTAAGAATGGAAAATAATACCAATAAAACATGCCAATCGTCACTTGTTAATTCAAAATTAGTTCATTTTTTAACTTGTTGCTGTGTGATATGTAATTGATGCTTATTACTAAAGAGATTTTCAATAATTTCACGAAGAACAATAAATGAATTTATCATGCAGTATGTACTGTTGCAATGAGATTTTACGTAATAACATAGATTTAAGGCTTTTTTAAACCTTTTTCGTTGAGCATCAAAGTATAAAGTAAGAATTGTTGATCTTTTGATCATTGAGATTAAACCACGACACTTTTTCAACACAACTAAAATCATATTTTGTTCACGAACAATTTCACAATCTGATTGGATAACATATGTTGTCCAATCATCCATAAATTCATCGTCATCTGTGTCATTATCACCATTATCAAATAATAATTGTTCTTCATCGAGTGAATCAAATGTTTCTGATAATTTATCATTATCATCTGATTTATTACCAGCAACGTTCACTTCAGTATCATCGTATTCACTAAGTGAATCAGTATCGTTGTTATTGCCCATATATTCAATATCTACCACTTCTTGTTCCGAGTCGTTTAGATCATTATTAGAATCATCTAAACAAAGAAAAAAATACTTGAAAGATTGAAAATAATAAATATTTGTATGCTTGAGACATCCAATCAGTATTATAAATATCTATATAACGGAAAAGTTGAATGACTTCGTTTCTTTATTAATTTTTTAATCAAACGAGTAATTCGTAGGTTTAATATGAATTTTTTATTGTGATTTATAGTATATTCTCTGAAAAGTAGTAAACTGCAATCAAGCATCAGGATTTTTTGTTTTCGGGAATAGAATAATAAAAAAATCCCGTATTGGCTGTCTGATGAAAAATTCCTGCTCGCGTTTTATTCGATCAGTTCTTTAATTTTATCCAGAATAAAGAATCTAAAATATCAAATAGTTGATACCTGGCTCCAATGCACCTGTACCATTATCATCACATCTTTTCGTACGATCCATAATCCAAATGCATTTGTAATTGAAAGGTGAAGTCTATGTGCAACACACCATATACGTTTCAAATTCAAATTCATATCATAAACGGTCCGTGCCACATTTCGACCACCATCAGTAGTCACTCAAATTACCTTGTGTAGTATGTGAAGTTCCTTTAACTTATCTTGTAGTATTCGAAGAATATCAATAGATTTATGATGACAATTAAATGTTGAGAAACTTAAAACTGTAGATGTTAAATCAAAACTATTGTGCAGAAAAAAATGACCCGTAATTACTAAAAATGACCGCATCTGTCTGTTGCTCCACAAGTCCAGAGTTATTGAAGAGTGATGTCATAATATCCTTACACCCGGTAACGACTTATGAGCACAAGCACACTACACTATCCACATTAGGTGCATCCACTTTTGGGTATTCGAATTTGGGTATCCGCATTTAGTGTATCCACTTTTTGGGTATTCACATTTGGGTATCCACATTTATGTATATATATATGTTTTGAAAAGCTGAGGAATTTGAGTTGTTTTGGTGTATCCACCTTTGGGTATCCACATCTATGTATATATATATGTTTTGAAAAGCTGAGGAATTTGAGTTGTTTTGGTGTATCCACTTTTTGGGTATCCACTTTTGGGTATCCACTTTTGGGTATCCACATTTATAACGGGTGGCCCAGAATAAATGAAGGTCTCAGTATTTCATTAATATCTCGCTCGATTTTCATTGTACAGAGTTGAAGTTTTCTCTAAAAGATGCGCCGTCCAATTCTTCACCAAACGCGTATCAAAACATTCTCTGGAGATAGATAAGCAGAAAATTTTTTAAATTATACTAAACACCTACAAATCGACCCACTTTCACAACCGTTGTAAAGATAAAAGATAGAACGTTTTTTATACTACCAGTTACATCAACGGCAAAAGAGGACTAGATGTTACAGTGACAGAACGAAAAAGGTGTTCTCCTCGCGGGATTCGAACCACACATCTTCTGCTATCCGGGCNATAATATATTATTCCACAAGAATATCACCTTCGAGAAATTTCATTAAACATCAAAAAATATATATAAAAAATTTTATAATAATTTCTCTAGTTTTTAAATGTCATTTTAACATATGATGGGGAATTTGATTTTGCGACAAAATCATTAACTCAAACGCAAAAGCAATTTGCGACAAAATCATTAACTCAAACGCAAAAGCAATTTGCGACAAAATCATTAACTCAAACGCAAAAGCAATTTGCGACAAAATCATTAACTCAAAAGCAAAAGCAAATTGCAGCAAAATCAAGAAGGTGAAACACTAGCACCTTTCGCGGTATTCGCGGTTATGCGGTATTGCGGTATTCGCGGTATTGCGGTATTCACAGTGTTTGTGGTAACCGCGAACATCGCAAGGACGGTAAGCACCACAAATACTGTGACTGTTTCCTCTTTTTAATTTTGCTACTAATTAATTTTGCATTGGAGATGATGAATTTCTCGCAAAATCAAATTTTCCATCATATGCTCGCCAGTAGCATTTACGAATTTATCTTTAATCTTAAAGCTTTTTTCGGTCATTAGAAAACATTATATTAGTAGTAATATTGGCGTCTTATTATTCCCATCTCCCAGGTCGAATATTCCGGCCACCGGATGCCGTAGGATACTCCAGGAAATCTGCGGAAAAGTCACCATATCCTGCAGGAAAACACGGGAAATCGCTGGAACATGGAAGCAGTATTCCGGTCAAAAATACAGCGGGACTTTTCCGACGAATTCCTGCCAAGTTCAAGTGCTTTCTGGCAGGAATTGATCGGAAATTATCGGAAAAAGTCCGAAAATTTTCCAACCGGAATACTGCTTCCATAAAATCAACGGAACTACCTGGAGCCGGCCATTTCCAGGCCGGACTCTTCCACCTAGGTTCTGAAGGATCAGATATTAAGCACAATATTTTTAAAATCAGTGGTGTAAACATTCTTTTACATGAGAGTCATATTCAATTATGTTAGTTGTACGAAATTCAGCGTTGCGTGTCATATTACTTCGCTGTCATCTTAAACATTCGATCTCTAGTGACATATTTTTTCTTTTAATTTAAAACAAAAGTGAAGAATATATCTACGATTAAAAGAACTATATTTCAATATAGGTTGGAGCTTTCAATAAACTCGTCGACGCAGTCGAAAATAATATGTTGAAAAAAATGTCTTAATGATAACATTGCTAGTATATAATAGTTATTTGTGACAAATACACACTGATTTGATAATTACCTAAGATGGAAGACCAAAACTTAACATATGATGGGGAATTTGGTCGAAAGGAAAAATACCAAAGAGAAAAATGTCGAAAATAAAAATGCCGAAAGGTGTATGAAGCTAGCTAAAGAACAGAGATTGTTATTACGCTAGGTTAAGAATTTATTTTAGCATTGAATGGATGAGTTTTTATTTTATTTTTCTTGTAACGACGTATGATGAGCCAGTCTGAAGATCAGATACTTAAATACGCTTTTTAATTATGTTCAGTTATTGCATTTATCGCAGACTACTATAAACTTTATCTAATAATGATGCATTCAATTGTGTCTATACATAGATAACGCCCCTGTTTTGTTTAAAAGTTGCATGTAGATTGAAAAATTGTTCACTCTATTGACCAGTAACGTATTTGGCAACTTAGATTAGTTATGTGTGTCTTATTGGGCCAATCGATCACTATTGCCATTCCTCTTTATGTTTAATATACAGCATATTTTCATCTGATATCTCAGTTACGTAAACTTTGAAAGTAGAAGTTTTTAATTTGACATTTTAATATTTCGATATTTTTATTTTTGACATTTTTACGTTTCGATATTTTGACTTTCGGCGTTTTTCAGGGGAATCCTTTATTAGTTCATCGTCCCAAATATATGAAAAACTTTGATTAAGCAAGGGTCTTGTTTTATTTCATTTCCTAGAACTTCTTCAAATCTTCGAAACGTATTTCTTTGAGCAACTTCTCTACTAGGAAAAGTATTCATATTAATGTGCAATAAAAACAGATTAAACTCTTTTATCTCAGATCGAAGCGGTACCACCTTAAATGATCGTGTAGTAAATTGAAGTAAAAGGATTTCGAATATTGATATTGCAGCCAACAAATCGAAATATTTAAAAAGACTTACAAATCATCTATTAGACTCTTCCGAGGGTTTCTTATGCGAGAGATCTTTCAAAAAGATTGTAGATGTGGTTACAACTCTTTAAACTCTGTTAAAGTTTCGTATTGTGCACGAAAATATTGTAAAATTTCTAGGCATGTGCTAAACCCTCTTGAAGTTCGGTATGCCATCTTTTCTTTCAAATTAACGATCATCATGCACCACAAAATAATAGAGTTACATACACTCAAACATGAATAATTTATATGATAAACGTATATAACTGTAGTTCACGATTGCATTCAGTCATCAATTACTATTAAGGCGAGCTGTACTTATTGAGCACATTGATTTCTCATTGTGAACTTAGCAACAGGCTTGTAACAGTTCAATGAGCCAGTTCTTTTCAAATGGGCTAGTTCTATCAATAGTGGTAATCTAGTGGTTTTTATTCAATATTTGTTCCATTAATCAAAACAAGAATTGGTTACCATATCCAGTTCTTTTCGAAACTACTCATCAATATCAATTTTTTTTAAAAGAAATGAATATGCTAACCAGTTATGTTAAAAACAACTGAATGACCAAAACCAGTTCACTTCTTTGATAGGAAGTTGTCACAGGACTATTCAACAACCAATATCATAATAAGAATTTCGTATTTAATTAATTTTTTATTTAAACCGATTCGAACAACATAAGGTAAAGTGAGAACTTACTTTAAAATGAATAATTTCATTTTATTTTTATCGGGATTGAATAAAAACAGTTTGTCTGTGCAACCTCTTAAGAGACCAACTTGTATAACTCAGAAACTCTGATTATTATGAATTGACGGTATATTATCACAGGTTTAAAAAGAATTCCTTTTCAAAAAATGCAAATAAATGCCTAAATCGAACTTACAGAAACGCTGTGCTAGTTTGCAATTTCATAAATGTTAACTTTTAGAATTACATTTATTCCATTCTTTTTAGTCATTTAACATCTTTATAGTTAAAAACTTATTTCTGATTTAAGATACATCTGAAATACTGAATCTCTTTTCTCCTTATCATGATATGTGTAAGATGCATGGAAAAAGCATGGAAAAAGAAGTAGCAAGTATCAATTTACTCTACGTTTGTCTGTTGAGCCGCCATGTTAGCCTGCAGTAAATCTTGACTTAATTGTTCAAAACGTTACTACTCACACCACTCTTTATCTCAGCAAACTTTCGCAAAAACTGTTGAGTTCAACTCAAACGTCGAATTCATTAATTTTTTCTCTACATTGTTCATTATAATTTGACTTTGCTACAGCAAAAATATGAGCGTACTAATGTTACTTAAGTATTCAGGTGGAGGTTTACTGAGTTCGTATAGGATGGCATTTGTTTCACCTGGACACCTTTTCCGATATCCAGGAAATTGTACCCAATAATATTTTCCTCTCATGATGGCCGTGTCTATTGAAACCTATCTGATAATCTTTTGTTTACCGACATCTCGTTATGAGAGTTCAGGTAGGGAAAGCGAGTCTGAGAAACCTAGATTTAAACATTCATTCACTATTGTTTTCTTCGAATAAGCAGGAGTCTCACAAAAATATATTTAAGACAAAGGATTTTTTTCAAATAATTTATTTTTATTTAGATTGCTTTAAGAGGCAAATTAAACAGAAAGTTTTTCAAAGCAAAAAGCAAAGTTCCATGTTTAATGCGAGGGAAACATTCCTTCCTCCTGAGTAGGATGAGTATGTGAATAAAACAGCACACGAGGTCATGTATAATAATGTACGGTGTGCAATTTAGTCATGTACACGGCGCATTTCATCGTGTAGGGCATGATAAAATACCTTGCGAAATACGGTCGAAATTTATACT